ATCTGGGTTTGCAGAGATCCTGGTTTGGGTGGTCCCAGTTTTGGGGTAATCCCACTTCAGGGTTGTCCTTGTTTTGGGGTGATCCTGGTTTGGGGTCATCCTGGTGAGGGGTGATCCCCATTCAGGGTGATCCTGGTTTTGGGGTGATCCCACTCTGGGGTGAGCCCAGTTTAAGGTGATCCCTTTTTGGGATGGGACCAGTTTGGGGTGGTCTAAGTTTGAGATGATCCTGGTTTGCAGTGATCTGTTTGGGGTGATCCTGGTTTTGGCTAATCCCAGTTTGGGATGATCCTGGGTTTGGATAATCCCAGTTTGGGATGATCCTGGGTTTGGATAATCCCAGTTTGGGATGATCCTGGGTTTTGGATAATCCCAGTTTGGGATGATCCTGGGTTTTGGATAATCCCAGTTTGGGATGATCCTGGTTTTGGCTAATCCCAGTTTGGGATGATCCTGGGTTTTGGATAATCCCAGTTTGGGATGATCCTGGGTTTGGGTAATCCCAGCTCGGGGTTATTCCAGTTCAGGATGATCCCAGTTTGGGCTGATCCTGATCTGGGGTGATCCCAGTTTGGTTGATCCCTGTTCCAGTCCCATTCTGGGCTGATCCAGGTTTGAGCTGACCCTGGTTCTGGCCAATGCTGGTTCTGGCTGAGCCTGGCTTTCTGGGCCAGTCTGGGTTTGGGCTGGCCCTGGTTCTGGTTCTGGCTGAGCCCAGCGTTCTGGGCTGATCCGGGTTTGGGTTGATCCGGATTTGGGCTGGTTCTGGTTCTGGCTGAGCCCGGTTTGGGCTGACCCTGGCTCTGGTTCTGGTTCTGCCTGATCCCAGTGCTCTGGCTCTGGCTCTGGTTTTGGCTCTGGTTTTGGCCCTGGCTCTGGTTCTGGTTCTGGTCCTGTCCTGGTTCTGTCTGATCCCGGTTTGGGCTGGTTCTGTTCCTGTCCCGGTTCTGTCTGATCCCGCTGTCCCGGTTCTGGCCCGGTTCTGTCTGATCCCGGTTTGGGCTGGTTCTGTTCCTGGCCCGGTTCTGTCTGATCCCTCTGGCCCGGTTCTGTCTGATCCCGCTGTCCCGGTTCTGGCCCGGTTCTGTCTGATCCCGCTGTCCCGGTTCTGGCCCGGTTCTGTCTCAGCCGTGGACATTCCCTGCACCGCGTTCCGCTCGGCCGGGAGCGACCCCCGCATCGAGTGGAAATTCCAGAAAGGATCCTCGCTGGGGCTCATCTACTACGGGGGGGAGCTCACAGGTACGGGGGGACAGCGGGGACAGGGGGGGACCCGGAGGGGACACTGGGGACAGCAGGGGACAGCAGGGGACAGCGGGGAGAGCAGGAATGGGGGGACAGCGGGCGGACCCTGTGGGGACAGCGTGGGGTCCCCGTGGGAGAGTGGAGTCCCCAAGCCCGTGGGGACATTGGGGGGTCCCCAAGCCCGTGGGGCCATGGGGGTGTCCCTGCAGTGTCCCAGCTCGGTGTCCCTGTGGTGCCATGGGAGTGTCCCCATGGTGTCCCTGCAGTGTCCCAGCTCGGTGTCCCTGTGGTGCCATGGGAGTGTCCCCATGGTGTCCCCTCCATGTCCCAGCTCGGTGTCCCCCAGAGCCGTACCGGGGTGTCCCTGTGGGGCCATGGGGGTCACTGTGGGGGTGTCCCCCTGCTGTCCCCGCCATGTCCCAGCTCTGTCCCCCAGAGCCGTACCGGGACCGTGTCCAGTTCTCCCGCACGTCCATCCGGTTCCAGTCGGTGACCCGGGAGGACAGCGGGAAGTACATCTGTGAGGTGGTGGGGGATGGCAGCCACATCTCCAAGAGCGAGGTCAACCTCATCGTCCAGGGTGAGGCCACCACTGTCCCCACCCCTGGCCGTGTCCTTGTCACCCACCCCTGGCATTGTCCATGTCCCTTGTCCCCTCCCTGCCCAGGATTTGTTGTCCCAACCTTCAATGGGGACACCCAGCCAGGAGGGAGGGACACTGTCGCTGTCCCTTGGCTGTGTCCAGGCAGTGCTGGTCCCCATCCCTGGGGTGACTTTGGGTGGTGCTGGTCACTGTCCCTGTCCCAGTGCCTGTCCCTGTCCCTGTGGTGACTCCAGACGGTGCTGTCACTGTCCCTGTCCCTGTCCCTGTCCCTGGGGTGGCTCCAGACGGTGCCATCCCCGTCCCCATCCCCGTCCCCGTCCCCGTCCCCGTCACTGTCCCTGTCCCCATCCCCGTCCCCGTCACTGTCCCCATCCCTGTCACTGTCCCTGTCCCTGGGGTGGCTCCAGGCGGTGCCATCCCCGTCCCCATCCCTGTCCCCATCCCCGTCCCCGTCACTGTCCCCGTGTGTCCCCCCGCAGTGCCCCCTGGCAAGCCGCTTGCCCACGTGCCCAGCTCTGTCACCGTGGGTGCCCGGGCCGTGCTGCGCTGCTCGGAGGAGCAGGGCTCGCCCCCGCCCACCTTCCGCTGGTACAAGGACGGCACGGAGCTGCCTCAGGACCCCAAATCCAGCCCCGCCTTCCGCAACTCCTCCTACAGCCTGGACCCGAGAACGGGGGAGCTGGTCAGTGCCCGAGGCCTCCCTGCCCTCTGCTTCTCCCTTTTCTCCTTTTTTCCTGCCCTTTTCTCCTTTTTTCCCGGCCTTTTCCCCATTTTTCCTGCGCTTCTCCCTCTCCCTTCTCCACTTTTTCTTTTTTCCCTTCCCTCCTCTTTCTTCCCCAACTCTTTCCCTTTCCTCGTCTTTTTCTTCTTCTTCCCTTCCTCCATTTCTCCCCCATTTTTCCCCATTTCCCCCATTTTTTTTCCCCCCGTTTTTCCCCATTTTTCCCTGATCCCTGCCCCTTTTCCAGGTTTTTGAGCCTGTGGGGGGCTGGGACACGGGTGATTATCACTGCGAGGCCTCCAACAACGTGGGGACCCCCCAGAAATCCGACGTGTTCCACATGGAGGCCAGTAAGGATCGAGCCCGATCCCAAACCCGACCCCAATCCCATTCCTGATCCCATTCCTGATCCCAATCCCATTCCTGATCCCAAACCCGATCCCATTCCTGCCCCTCCCGGCCCTTCTCCAGCCCCGCCCCCAGGATCGGCCTCATTAATTATGTTAATGAGCCCCGGGATAGCAGGAATGTGGGAATGGCCCATCCCACATTTGGAGCTGGGAACCCCAAAATTCCCACTGGGATCTTTTTTCTTTTGAGATCCAGCTGCTCCCCAGGTGGATCCAACCCCAATCCCAGCCCCACTTGGAATCAGGAACCCCAAAATTCCTGCTGGGATCTGTTCCCTGCTGGGATCCATCCCACTCCAGCTGGATCCAATCCCAGTTCCACTTGGAATCAGGAACCCCCAAAAATTCCTGCTGGGATCCAGCTGCTCTCCAGGTGGATCTGACCCTAATCCCAGCCCCATTTGGAGCTGGGAACCCCAAAATTCCCACTGGGATCAGCTCCCTGCTGGGATCCAGCCTCAATCCCAGCCCTGTTTGGATCCAAGAACCCTAAAATTCCCACTGGGATCTGCTCCCTGCTGGGATCCAGCCCCCTCCAGTTGGATCCAGCCCCAATCCCAGAATTCCCACTGGGATCAGCTCCCAGATGGATCCAGCCCCATTTGGATTTGGGAACCCCGAATTCCCCTGATTCCCTGCCCAGGTGAGGTGAACGTGGGGGGCATCGTGGCCGCCGTGGTTCTGCTGCTCCTGGTCCTGGCACTCGCCGGCTTCGGGGTCTGGTTCGCCTACAGCCGTGGCTACTTCAGCAGTGAGNGCATCGTGGCCGCCGTGGTTCTGCTGCTCCTGGTCCTGGCACTCGCCGGCTTCGGGGTCTGGTTCGCCTACAGCCGTGGCTACTTCAGCAGTGAGTGACTGGGATGGACTGGGAACGGACTGGGATGGGCTGGGAATGGACTGGGATGGACTGGGACGGGCTGGGATGGGCTGGGGATGGACTGGGACGGGCTGGGGATGGACTGGGACGGGCTGGGAACGGACTGGGATGGGCTGGGATGGGCTGGGAATGGTTTGGGATGGACTGGGACAGGCTGGGAATGGACTGGGAATGGTTTGGAATAGACTGGGGCTGGTTTGGGATGGGCTGGGACGGACTGGGAATGGACTGGGGCGGACTGGGAATGGTTTGGAATAGACTGGGGACAGTTTGGGATGGGCGGGGATGGACTGGGATTGGAATGGGACGGACTGGGAATGGTTTGGGACGGACTGGGATGGACTGGGAATGACCCCATGGATCCGGAAATGGCCCGGGAATGTCCCCGTGTCCCCTCCCCTGATCCCATTTTTTCCCTTTTTTCCAGAAAAAACAGAGTGAGTCCCTCCAGAGCCACCTCCTGCTCCTGGGTGATCCCACCCCCCCCCCCCCCCCCCCCGTGTCCCTTTGGTGTCACCCCGGTGTCACCTCCATCCCTCGGGGTGTCCCCCGGTGGGGACAGAGGGGACACCGAGGGGGTGGCACATCCCAATCCCCATTTCCCCGCAGTGCCGGCGGGAAGAAGGTGATTTACAGCCAGCCCTCACGGCGCAGCGAGGTGAGGACACCCTGGGGACACCCTGGGGACACCCTGGGGACACCCTGGGGACACCCTGGGGACCTGCCACCACCCTGCAGGGGACAGACAGCCCGGTGTCCCCGGTGTCCCTTGGCAGGAGGGTCCCGCGGGGTGGGGATGGGGGTGGTGGGGGGTGATGGTGTCACCTGTGATGTCCCTTTGTCCCCATTGATGTCCCCATGGATGTCCCCGTGTCCCCACAGGGCGAGTTCAAGCAAACCTCCTCGTTCCTGGTGTGACGTCACCCCCGCCCCCCCCCGGACACTTTTTCCCAATTCCCGGAATTCCCGCGGGATTTTCGCTGCCGTTTTTTTTTTAAAAAATCCTCGCCCGGTGCCTTCGCCGCCGCTGCCTCTGGAACTTGGGGGGGCTGGGGGGGTCCCTGTGTCCCCACTTCTGTCCCCTCTTTGTCCCCCTTGTCCCCCCCTTTGTCCCCCCCTTTGTCCCCTGTCATCCTCCCTTGTCCTCCGCCGTTGTCCCCCCTTTTGTCCCCTCCCATTGTCCCCTTGTCCCCCTCTTTGTCCCCTTTTGTCCCTCCCTTGTCCCCTCACCTCGTTCCCCCCTTGTCGTCCCCTCCCCCCGTTGTCCCCTCCTTGTCCCCTGGGGGGCTCTGGGAGGGGGCGGGGACACCACGAGTGTCCCACTGGTCCCAGTCTATACTGGGATGGGGGGGGGAGGGGTACTGGAAATAAACCTGTGTCCTTTACCTGGCGTGGTGACACTGGGGGGGGACA